AGCACTTGCTGCTGCTCCCCGTCAGAGGCTCGAGCCGGGACAGTCTGAGGGTTTAGGGTTTAGGGTTTAGGGTTTAGGGTTTAGGAGCGCAGACGTACTGGCAAGGGGTGAGGAACAGCCGACGGGGAAACCCTAAACCCTAAACCCTAAACCCTCAGGTACAGCAGCAGCTCCTGTTGCTGCTGTCGCAGCAGCAGCTGCTGCTGCTGTTTCAGCAGCAGCTGCTGCTGCTGAAACAGCTCCTGCTGCAGCTTGCTGCTGCTGCAGGTTGCTGCTGCTGCAGCTGCTGCTGCAGCTAAAAGCAAGAAGCAAATGATGCCAGATTAGACCAACTTATATGCGGCATCTTACTCTGCTGCTCTTGCTGCTGCTGCTGCTGCTGCTGTTGCTGCTGTTGCTGCAGCAGCAGCTCCGTTTGTTGTAATTGCTGCTGCTCTCGTTTCTGCTGCTGTTGAGGAACAACAGCAACAACAGCAGGAGCAGCAACGGCAGCAGCAGGAGCTGTTGCTGCTGCTGCTGCTGCTGCTGCTGCTGCAACTTCAGGACAAAGGCTGCCGCAGGTAAGACTGTAGACCTCTGGGTCAAGTTGCTGCTGCTGCTGTTGCTGCTTCTGCTGTTGCTGCTGCCGTTGCAGCTGCCCTTGCTGCTGCTGCTTCGGGTTTTGCTGCTGCAGGCGCTGCTGCTGCTGCTGCTGCTGCTGCTGCTGCTGCTTGCTTCGCAAAACAGCGCCAGCGAGGGGACTTCAAAGTAAATGAATTAAATTCATTTTTTAATTTCAAATTAAAATAGAATTCGACATTTTTAAACAGCAAGACAGCTTCGGGTTTCGCTGCATGCAGCTGCTGCTGTAGGCTGGGGGCCCCCCGGGGGCCCCCCAGGGCCACCAGCATTTTAACTTTCCTTAATAAATACTTTTTAATAAATCTAAAATCTGCACTTTTTCAATTATGAATTTAAAATGAACTTCTGAGAAGGGATTGAGAGGCTTTATTGAGGTGTACAGACACCTGGATCCGCGAGCCAAGCCGCAGCAGCGGAAACGCGGCGGAAGGATTTTCGGGTTTTTCGCCTCAAAAGTATTTATTTATTTATTTAAAAGTGAATTATAAATAAATAAATTCATAATTGAAATAAATTAATTGAAAAAAAAGAAATTCAACAAAAGAAATTGAAAGGTCCCACCGGGATTCGAACCCGGGTTAGTGGATTCAAAGTCCACGGTGCTAACCACTACACTATGGAACCGACGACAGAGCCCGAATTAGGGTTTAGGGTTTGGGGTTTAGGGTTTAGGGTTTAGACTTTAGGGTTTGGCCAGTGGGTCTGGGCCTCCGCTGTGAGGGTTTAGGGTTTAGGGTTTAGACTTTAGGGTTTGGCCAGTGGGTCTGGGCCTCCGCTGTGAGGGTTTAGGGTTTAGGGTTTAGGAGCTCTTGCTGCAGTTGGGCTTTTCTGCTGCCAGGAGAAACGAAACCCTCAGAAACCCCAACCCTAAACCCTAAACCCTAAACCCTAAACCCTAAACCCTGATTCTAAACCCCAGCGGCTTCTGCTGCCCCGTCTGCTGCTGCAGCGTGGCCGAGGAGAATCCGCTGATGTCAGAGGATGAGATCCAAGGCGATCCCGAAACCCCAAACCCTAAACCCTAAACTAGGGTTTGAAAGACCTCAGCACAGCTATTCGCCACGCCACTGCCACCGAGGCCAATAACTCCAAAATGCTACAAAATTTATTTCCAGAAGATCTCTTCTTGGGGGCCCCCTGGGGGCCCCTAAAAGGGCCCCCAAGGGCTCCCCAGGGGGCCCCCAGGGGGGCCCCAAGGGGCCCCCAGAGGGCCCCCGGGGGCCCCTCAGGGGCCCCCAAAGGGCCCCGGGGGCCCCTTAGGGGACTCCCAGGGGCCCCCGGGGGGCCCCCAGGGGCCCCCGGGGGGCCCCCAGGGGCCCCCGGGGGGCCCCCAGGGGCCCCCGGGGGGCCCCCAATAAGAGATCTTCTTAGGGGCCCCCAGGGGGCCCCCAAGGAGATCTCAAGGAGCCCCGAGAGGCCCCCAAGGGGCCCCCAAGGGGCCCCCAAGGGGCCCCCAAGGGGCCCCCAAAGGGCCCCCAAAGGGCCCCCAAAGGGCCCCCAAAGGGCCTCCAAGGGGCCCCTAGGGGCCATGGAGGTTTAGGGTTTTTAATTGTCTTCAGTGACAGGTCCTTGAAGAGCTGAAGCGATTTGAGAACCCCCAGAACCCTAAACCCTAAACCCTAAACCCTAAGCCCTAAACCCTAAATCCTAAACCCTAATCCCTAAGCAACTGAGACAGAACTCGAAGACAGAAGTGATACAAAAGGAGCGGAGGGTCAACACCGCCAGGGTTCAGGGATCAGGGTTTAGGGTTTAGGGTTTAGGGTTTAGGGTTTAGGGTGTAGGGTTTAGGGTGTAGGGTTTAGGGTTTAGGGTTTGGGGTGTCTTCATGGCCTCCACCGCTGTGCCCTCCCATTCTCAGCAGCAGCAAAAGTTGAAT